CATATTGTTGTTAGAATCAAACCTTCTGGTGAAATCATGGCTCACACATGATTGCTTGAATTTATTTCATCTGGTGAAATCATGGCTCACAAGTGATTGCTTGAATTTATTTCATCTGGTGAAATCATGGCTCAAACATGATTGCTTGAATTTATTTCATCTGGTGAAATCATGGCTTATACATGATTGCTTGAATTTATTTCATCTGGTGAAATCATGGCTCACACATGATTGCTTGAATTTATTTCATCTGGTGAAATCATGGCTTATACATAGTTGCTTGAATTGATTTCATCTGGTGAAATCATGGCTTATACATAGTTGCTTGAATTGATTTCATCTGGTGAAATCATGGCTCACTCATAGTTGCTTGAATTGATTTCATCTGGTGAAATCATGGCTCACTCATAGTTGCTTGAATATAATGTATAATAACCATGAGTACTTTCAAGTAAACCCATGTGCCTTTTGAGCATAACCAATGGTATAACTGTTGGCATATTTTATATCTATATAGCATAGCCATTGACAAATTATATAGGAACTTGGATAAATACGTTATGTACTGTAAATTGCTTTAATTTCGTGGGAGAAAAGATTTCTAACAGTGAAAATTTGTCAGAGGTTCTTCGACATGAAGTGGTTGTGACTTCCAATAAATGTTATCTTCAAAAATGAAATCAATGAAATTCCTAGCAGCAAAATTAAACTCTTTACACTATCCATGTTGAGATACATGTCTATGATGAGGTACTTATCTATGATGACTCTAATTTATGTTGATACTAGACAAGCCAATTATTCACTCCCAATTACTAACTATGCTTTTGGTCCATATTAATTTATTTTTGGCATGAATAACATTTCCCCTAATTCCAACGAGGACTATGATAATAAGGGAAAATCATATGTTTAGTCAGTATTCTGCCATGGTTTGACTTGTTGTACAACATGCCTGCAGGCTTTCGTACTTTAAGACTGTTTCCCGTCTGCCATGTTATTTATATCCAACCCAAATTAGAGGTTTCATTTGTAGGATATGCAGGGTTTTGTCTCCCATCTGCCATGTTATTTAAATCCAACTTTAGAGGTCTTGTTTGTAAGATGTACATGTCCAGACTCAGCCACATATACTAAGGCTGAATTCATTGTTTTTGTATAAATTTAAATAAATTACAATGATTTACTAAAGTATTTAGGCAGAAAGTTCGCAAACTTACCCCTTAATTTGCCAAAAACTTTACATTTTACTAAGCAGATGGTATACAATTTTACTTCCCTAAACACTATTAGTGATCACTGTAAAATACTTAAATTTTCGCTTGAAATTTATTTCTTTTTTATCGTTGAAGGGAAGAGTCAGTGAAAATATAATCCAGCGAATATATTTTTTTTTCTATGTTTTACATTCAACTCATCAAAAATCTGTAAAAATAAAATCTATACAAAACACTTGATAAGTCTTTTCAGCGAAAATTAATTCCAGCTAAAATAAAGTATTTCACAGTACCAGTATGATGTGACTTGAACAGTTACATTTTGTAACGAAATATTCAAAATTTGTGCAATATATTAATATTTTTAGATGTTTGGGGGTTTGTAGCATTAATGTAATACATGTACTGTAAAATACTTCATTTTAGCTATAATTTAAAGCAGGGGAGTTGTCACCTGCGCATGCGTCATCGCTTGGGACTCTCGCATATGCAGGTGACGACCCTCTCACTTTAATTGTTTTTAGTTTGTTCATATTTGGAAAATAGTCCACATGTTTTAAATTTCTAATTTTATTTTATACTACAACAGGGAAAACTGAAGTCTAAGCGATTAAAACAGCTCATGAAATCAATGAATGACAAAGATCTCGGACCTTACGGTGGTGGATCATACACCAGTAGTAAAGGTGACACGGTGGAATTACAACATGTCACACTAGTACAGTTAATTCCTGGTGTCAACCACAAGAAAGTTGTACTGGGAAAAGTTGTTTGTAGTGTTGCCATTGAGGAGCCGATACCATTGTGAGTATAAGTATTCTTTTGAAAAGATTTAATCAAATCATATTTCAATTTTTATGAATTCAATAATTGAGAAATGACGTGCAAGCCAAACATTCAATAGTACAAAGTGTTAACTTGCTTGAATCAGAGAAAGTCATCACTTTTTATTGCTGTATCAACTGGTTGTTTAGACATAAAATCATGACAACTTGTTAATCTGCATGAAATAAATAATCATCTAATAAAACAACAAGCATTGATTTTTTTTGACTAGCACCTTCGCCATGGTTGATTCTGAAGGTACCTGTTTTGCCGTAACTTTGTATAACATTGCCCCAGGCTATGGTGTTATTATTGGAGATTCTGTAGCTATACCTGAACCTAATGCACAGGAAAACAAAGTGGAACATGAAGGAAAAGTAAGTACCTCACTTTTAACTCTCTGAGTGCCAAAATCTATATTGTCACAATTCACAAATTAAAACCCCCATTTTTTTCAAAAAATGTGATCCCGTCCTGTAGCTAATAGGAAATTATGTACATTTGGTTCAAAATTAGCAAAAAAAAAATTCTAGGAAAATACTTAAAATAAAGCAAAAATTATGGTGTTCAATGGGGTGAGAAAATTAGTGGAAGTTTCTCTCTATAAACCTTATTTTTAAAATAATGCTACCGATCTTAGAAATTTCACATTATCATCTTTCCCAAATAAGTAGAATGCATGAAACCTTAACTGCAAAGTTACTACACACTGTAATTTATATAGCTAATCACATGTTTGTTTATTCTTGTATTACAGACCTATAAGTATTATAGTATTAGAGTTGAAACTCCTATTGTCATTGTAGTAAATGGCAAGAAACTGGGGATAGACAAACAAGCGCCCTCAGTGCTGGGAGTCAGTGCAAAGAGTGAATAAAGGGAAACCTGTTTTACAAGCATCAACCAACATCAGTACCGATCTCGACTCACCTACAACCTAACTTCACGTTCAACAATACTATTCAACTCATAAATTTTCTATATACATGTCATTTTCTTGAGACATATCAGTGATGCAAATGGTCAAATGAAATGTGGATTTATTTTTTTTAAAAAAAGATATTTATTTTTAAGTATAACTGTAAATATTCAGCAGCTGACCACACAATATTTTTGTTTGTCTCGCTTGTTAAGGCTTCATTGTAATTGGATGATTGACTTTTTTAATTTATACAAGCTAGTTGAAATGGGTATATTTCAAAAACAAGTTGAAATAATTAAAATAGAAGACAAGATTGAGTTTCTAACATTGTCACTTATTAACTAAAGTAGTAAAGTTGTACAATGTGCATGACGATTAATTTATTTTATACTTTTATAAATTAAAATGAACATTCAAGCAGAGTCCTTCTATAGTTTATAGAGGGACTGTGATTTGAGCAATGACAAATGTTTTTTTTTTTAAAAGCCTCATTTGCATAATTTCATTTTTAAGGTCCTGCACTGTACCATGTTCAAATATAGATGTTTGCAAATGATGAATGTTTTCACTTTGGTTTCGTCGTTGGCATCATTTCATGCATTCAAAAAAAGTCTGTTACACTTGTGATCAGAATGTCAAATTTAGCTCAAAGTCTGGTGTAAGAATTTATACAGGTGCTTAAAAGGCTGTCAATATTTTAGGAATGTCTACATACACGCTCATCATCTGGTAGCTGACCTACTTATTTCTTTGATCCATTCAAAGACTCAGATGCAGAGAATTTCCTAAAAATTATGGTTGTAAACTAAATTTGGCTTACTGGGTGTAGATGTAAAGACAATGAAATGTTGGCTTTACGGTTAGGGTAAATTGAGCTTAATGTTAGCCAAACACTGCTAGTATAAATGTTTTATTCCTATTTTTGGGAGAGCAACCTGAAAATTGAATTTCTAATTTGCGTTATTTTAACACGTGTGTTGTATAGTGTAGGACAATCTGATTAAAATCTGATGTAGTGTACGGGCTTTAATTATTTTGGCTATAAACTTATTTTAATTTTATTTTTTATTACTTTTGTTATTAATGCCCTTTTATTTTATTTTATTATTTTACTTTGATTTTGTGATTTTTTTTAAAATTCCGCCCTACATACATCTGACCCGATGCCTATGTAACGAGATTTCAACGAGACCCACTATCGACGATTTTAGTCAACGAATCACAGACCTCCTTCTATTGCGCACATGATGACGTCACCGGGCTGAGTCAGGTGGCAAACACACTCAAATAAAATGGCGGATTATACCGACGTTGACAGAGAATAACACGGCTTTACGGTAAGTTTATCATTGTCAAATGCAACAAAAGTCATTTTTATGTTAATATTGGGGCTTGAATGGTTCGACTTTAGATCGTTATTTTGCATAGTTATTCTGGGAGTGACGATTTTGTTTCCACCGTTTCGACCGAACACCAGTGTCTTTTTCCAGTCGCCTGCCCTGGAGCGGGTGATGTTTTGTTGAAGATCGGGCCAACATCGTCTACGGTATTGAAGCCGTAGCTGTAAATATTCATCAAATTGTATCAACATTTTGTACATTACATGTATACAATAACTCTTTATTAAAGTAATTGAGCTGATTTGGACTGGAATCGGGCCAACATCGTCTACGGTATTGAAGCCGTAGCTGTAAATATTCATCAAATTGTATCAACATTTTGTACATTATACAATAACTCTTTATTAAAGTAATTGAGCTGATTTGGACTGGAATAAAATATTTTTTATTGGAACACATCGCAATTGATCAGGAAATATTTTTTGGCTCCAATTTTCTGCGTCGATGCCGTGGGCCGGTGACCGTTATACAATTTAAAATCAGTTTGCAGTGTTCTAATCATTACGATTTCCTTATTTTTTTGCTTCCATTCTAGATAATTATGCTCAGTGATGTAAAATTGAAGGGATGACTGAAGGAACGAACCTTGGCTGGCGAAGATGTATCTGGAAGTGTACACATTTGTTGGAAGTGAAACAAATATTCAATGTAATGACAAAAATTGTAAAATGCAAATAAAAATTTACTAGCAATTTTCTATTAATGGTTTATTCAAGTGGGCAAAATATAATGTACAGAAAGATTGCCCGTAGAGTATCGCTACACTGAAAAGTAACCGACAGCCTGTATAAAAGGGGGGTTGTGATTGGCTGTTACTTACGCGAGATTTGAACGGAACTTACATAGGTGTCGGATCAGATGTAGGTAGGGCGGAATTAAAAAAAAATCACAAAATCAAAGTAAAATAATAAAATAAAATAAAAGGGCATTAATAACAAAAGTAATAAAAAATAAAATTAAAATAAGTTTATAGCCAAAATAATTAAAGCCTGTACACTACATCAGATTTTAATCAGATTGAGTGTAGGAGAAACGGGTTAACTATCATTTAAATAAGGTAAAACTTTATATTTCGTATTTGTTGACATGGGGATGCCAGGGATAGTGTAACCTGTGGTGTGGTCCAGTGTTGCTACTCAAATAATACATGTATATCAAACCATACACTAATATATTTATTAATATGACACTGTGTACAAAGTTATCTTGCTACTTAGTAACACTATTTTTACAGTAGATAACACTCAAGGGTTTTACTAGAAAACTGTAATTGTATAATTTACATTTTCATATGCCATTGTCACACTCGAGGGCCAGCTTGTTGGGATTTTGCCAACCACTGTGATACAACTTATCTTAGAGGGAGGTGAAACCGGTAAATTTAATTCAACCCTTTGAGCTCTATTAAAGTCACCTTTCATAAAAAGCATCCTTATAATTTATCCCATATTTTCTTCATATTTTGATCAAGATCTGTAACCAATGAGAAATTGAGTCCATCTGGTTCAAAATTAACAAAGAAATTATAAAAATTCATAAAAATGTGCAAAAACTGCATCACAATTTTGTCGGGGGAAAATTTATATGCAAAAAGATAAATATGCAACACATTTATACATTGTCTGTATAAAAACAAGTTCAAAGTGAACCATTGATCAAACTGGTTGTCGGAACTCTATCGAATTCTATCATCTGCAAGATACCACTCCTGTCCAACACCTGTTGTGTCTAGGCTACATTTTAAGAGGGGGTGTCAATGTTCTTATATAAACTGGGCTTAATCAAACAACATCTAGCAGCATGAAATGGTTCCTTCTCCGTTGATCCCCTATACTTTGTAATAGCAAGCAAGAATATCTAGTATTCAAGACAAATGAAGTTGCTGGATTTAATTACACATTGTCAAGTTGAGTTCTTGTTAATATATCTCTATTTTTTCTGAAAAATATAAATGCGGTTTTTCCCACATTGGGGACCATTTTCTCGCACTGCAAGATCTGCTTTCTCACATGAATACAGAAGTAGGATGCTTCAAGTTCCAGCATGATTTTTCATTTATGTAACTTTCTTTCTGACAGCTCTGACTTTCTGTTTCGTTGATGTCTGTTGTGAACCTGGCCTAGCTTGCGTGGGATCATAATCAAATGTCTGTGGTATTGCTCCCGTGCCGGCTTGCTTGAAGCCCCTTTCCAGGAACTTTTCCCGCTGTTCTATCTCCTGCTGCATCTGTGCATTCTTCCACCCTAGAAGACAATAATGACATTACTGTAATGAAGTAGTACCCTCAAGTACAGACCTTTTTTAGCACGACAGTTTTACCATCAGTCAATGGGATTCATGAAATATCATACCTGACTTTAGATTTTTGACAAAGCCTTCAGGTTTTGTCGTTTCTCCTGGCGCATGTACAATCCTTTCTGGTATATTGAAGTATGCTCTAACGTTGGGGTTTTTTAAAAGTGCAACCTGACCAAGTGATATGAAATTGGATGTCAACCAGTAGCAGAAGACGGACTGTGAATTAAAAAAAAACATTTTATTAGAACCGTATGCGCTTCTAATAGATTGAAGGGGAGCTGAGGTTTGGCTTTTGTCACTCTGAAGTGACAACGTGATTTTTCATTTGAGATTTCAAGAAACTTAACATGAATCGTTATGGCATTCATATGCACAACACCTCACCATGTTTAAACTTTTAAATTGTCAGTTAACAAGGTCTTTCATAGTAGCACTTCTATGGGGATTGACGGACTAGAATGAATGCATTCAATTATTAGTGTTCACTGATGACATCATTGAATGGCCCTCTAGAGGTGAAATGATGCCAGGTAAAGCGGACGTTTGTCGTCTGCTTCATAGACCGTTTTATACCCAATATTTAGGGCATTTCGCAGCACATACAAGTTGTTTTTATCGACAGAATTCATTCATAGATCTCAAATTTCATGTACAGAGCGACAAAAGCCACACCTGCTCCCCTTTAAATACAGAATTCCCTGATATTAAAAATGGACATTCCCCAATTTGATCAGCTTTTGTGTATGCGATATTTCATCTATTTGAAAAATGCGTTTCCTTTGCCAAAAATGTAATTTATTCGCAACATATCCAGAAGTTCTGTTAGGGAAACTGAGAAAGTAACTATAAAAATAAATAAAAATTTATACATGTGGAAAAAAATAAAACTGTAAAACCATGCTTGGAATTTTTGTAATTTGATGAGTTAATTAAAGTCATCATGACATGTTACTTTTACGACCACAGTAAAATTTACCATGACTCACAAAAATTTGTCTTTAAAAAGTAAAATTTACAGTTTACAATAATATAATGTATATGCACAATATACTATTCAAACAAGTCATTGATAATGACATAGTCCCTGTCATGTTTTTAGTGACTTTGTCAAACAATGAAAAGCATAGTCAGATTATGTTTAAATATTGTGATAGTATTTAGAATATTAACTACAAATGAGCATGAAACGGCTATAAAGACTGAGTTTGAATGGAATTGGATCAGGGCATGCCCCAGAAACTGTTAATGACCAATGTCCAAGTGTTGATTTTTAGGTCAATTAATGGCTGTCAGTTGAAGGTCAACAAAGTAAAACAAAGCGATATTCACATGTATCATGACTTGTGATATACCAACAAATCGGTCCAGGCATGCACAAGATATGATGGACACAACAATCATCTCTGTAAAATGAGAACAGTTGTAGAAAACAAAATAGCCAGTCCGCCATTTTGAATCATATCACGAAAAAATGACGTGCTTCAGTAACCTACCATGACTAATGTCAGTGCCAAGTTTGAATGAAATCAGTCAAGGCATGTCCAAGAAACGGTTAATGACATGTCCAAATGTTGATTTTTGGTGTTTTGTGGGACAAAAATGGCCGTCAGTCGGTCAAAGGTCGCATGATGGACATCACCAAAGACGGCCCATATAAGTTACACCACCTACATACGGTAACCACTTGTGTTTTGGGGGTATTAGTAAAATATGTATTGCTTGAATGTCATCTTACCGCTGGCATAGATGCTGTGAAAGGTAATATTACAAATGGTAAAATCCTCATCACTGTTTTCATGTTCTGCATCTGTGGATTCTGCACACCAGTCTCACCGCCAAGCTGTAAATATCGGTGGTGAGTGAAACATGTCAGCAAATGAATTACAAAGTGAAAACAAAAAGTTGGGTTTCCATGGAAACAACTTTTCATAGCATCCACCCCACGTTGGAGGCTATTTTTAATTGAAAAATAGTCAAAATGTATACACACGAGATTCATACTAAAAGCGTGGCTTCACAATCCCAGGGATTGCACCAGGACATCATGGGAAATGTAATTGTCATGGTCCGCCCAGTTGTTTGCTTGGTACACAGCTGTTATCATTTCACCCAAATACAAACTGAAAGCTAACATCATCATGCATTACCCTATTATCAGATTTGAAAGGACTCATTGAATAGCATTTTCAACACTCATGTGGCCCACGCAATCCTTTGAAAGCAGTCATTTTAAGCAGTCAAAAAAACTGTTTGAATCATGCTTTCTCGTTGCTTTTATGTGGAAATCACACTGACATTGCTTCAAACTTGTAAATTAACATCGAAAATGTATCGCAGATATATTCATGTTTGTGTGCGATATGAAAATAACGCACCACGGGCGTTAAGATAGTCAAAAAGAGTGATTTTGCAGAGCACCCTTGAGTGTCATTTGCATACCAAAAACTGGCGGCCATCTTTCCTTTTTTACACCCAGAGCCGTGGTTTAATAATAACAGTTTTTGGCACAGTAGACATCAGGAGTGATAATTCACATTTTAAATGTTGAATAATGTGCGACATTCAAGTTTGTATATTCACCTCAATTATACACAGCATTGATAGTGTAGCAATAGCAGGCATAATGTAGTAAGGGTCGGCTATGGTGAGATCAGTAAACCAATATAAACCACCAGTTTGCATACTCTCCACAGGCAATGCCGCCATTTTCCTCAGACCAATGAAGAAAGAAATAAAGATAGGAGCCTGGATAATGAATGAGAAGATATTGAAAGTTAAATGTACATGTATATCAGTTCAGGATTTCTTTAAAATGACAAGCTTTTAATAAAAAACAAGATTTTTGTAATGGTTTACTATTTTGATGACATGTAAAAGCTAAAAAACAAGAAACCCATCAGAAAAGGCAGATATGATATTTATGCATTTTTAATGTAATTAAAATATGTTAATCAGATCTCGTGTACAATGTATTTTAAAACCACTAGCTGAATGTCTCTATCTGCAATAGTACTTCAGACAGACAGACAGACAGACAGACTCTGAAGTTCAAGCCTGGCAGTGTTACAATCTGATCTTTGATCTTGACTTTGCTTTACCATTCACAAGTTAGATATAAATAAATAAATAGCATATTTTTGGTGATGCAATTGTTGGAATTTGAATGCCAGAGTTTATAGAAAATCTTAAAGTTATAATCAGCAAGAAGATCTGACAAAATAGACAAATAGACAAATATGTCAAAATTTCCCTTCATTTGATACACTCACCTGTACTAACGGTACCAACATATTTTTCATTGGGTTCACCCCATGCTTTTTCATAAACATCTGCAACTCATTAGTTGCCCGGGCAACTGAAATGATATAAATCAACATGCAATTATCAACACCTCGCAATGAGCTCTGAAATGCAATGGTGCAATTGACTAGTCCCCTCTCCTGACCCAATCCTCAGATTTTAAAAGGACACCCCTCAACTGAAATATATGTCAAGGACACACATAATCTTATAATCACTTCAATGAAACTGAAATTCATTCAAAATTGAAAATGTCTTAAAAATGTTTTTGGGCTTTCCGTTAGGCATGCTTTGCTTGAAACACCTAGAACATAACTGTGATCCAACAAATTATGTGGGAAAAAAACAGAAGCATTTAGAGTTCACCCACCATGGAGCACATGTTCAAATTTGAAACATGACACATTGCAACAACCACCACCATCCTTTTAAAAAAACGAAAAAACTTACTTTCTAACTGGCTTCCTGAAGATCTAATTTCATTCATTTTATTGGTCAATCTCTGTACTGTCGGCATAACATTATTCAGTTTGACTGCATTTCTTTGACCTCTAATAACGACGGGGAAGATGAGAAACCTGGCAATTACCGTACCTGCATTTGTAAGTAAAAACAATTGAAGATAATCAGCTGGTAGAACAAAATTAACTATTGTCTGTTGTTTATAAATGATTAAAGAAAAAAGAGTTATTTGTATTTATTTATATTTAAATATTGGATTTAGCAAAATGTTTTTTTTTATTATGATCGTCATAAGCGTATTCAATTTATTCGGCTGAAGCCTCAACATTAACCCTTGGCAGACTTCACCACGATTTACTGTATGTCACACGCCCTCAAACGATTATATGATTTACTTCGGCTCATTTGCATCACCCAATCAGAACTCACGAAAGAAACTACACATTACTTGGTAAAATTAAAATGGCAGAATCAAATAAACGTAATACTAGCCTTTTATCCGAACAAACTTACTGATCATCAAAAAAAAGCGCTTAGTGCTGTATCTGAGGAAAATGACGTGTCGAGGGACTGTGTTACAACAAAGACCGAATCGGGCAAGTCGATCATCAGTTTCAACAGTTTTGTCAGTTTACTAAAACACAGTTTGCACAGATATTTAGACATTCTATTGTCCTCACTCACTTGCCAACAAACATTTTTCAACATTGGAATAAAAAATTTTAGAAACGTGTCAACAAATATAGACCTTCTGTTTTTGACTATGGGTGAATCATCGCAAAGCCTACACGCCGCCATTGTTTTAATCTGTGATGAGCTCCCCGATCTTCACATTTATGATACAGCAACTCTGATTGGTGGCGCCAGCTCTTTGACGCACCCAATCAATTGACTCAACTTAGCTGCAGTGAAATACAGCTTTTCCTAACTCAATCACGCACGGGTTCATGGGCCGGTTATGAATAGCCGACTGTAGCGAAACTGTGCGATTCGAACAATGAAGCGCATTGTGGTTCTAATTCACAAATTATGGTATTTGCCACTTACCTACAACAATTGCACTCCACCACGGTAAATGAAGATTTATATGTAAAAACTCTAAACAATTCTGTATCGCACCAACAGGTGTGAAATTTCCAAGACCTAGTTCTGAGAAGGGTACTTCTTGTACTTTCTGGACTATTTCTGTTACTTCTGGTGTTACTGATTGCGCCACAACAGTACTGGAAGGGTCGATTTGTGAAAGCTAGAAAACACAATGATTAAATTTGAAGTTTAATAGCAATCATGTGCCTGTCAAATATCTATCATCCACCAAAAATATGTTTAAATAAGTTGTTTCATCTCAAAACAATAATGCTGATCATCCGTATCCTTATTTAAATATAGGATTCATATGTTTTATTCATACCGGTATTCCAAATAAGGCCTTACGAGTGTTTTATGCAGGAATGTATCAGTATTCATATACTTAAAATTGTGATGGAAATAACCAAAATTACAGTTTGACTTTGAAACCATATTTTTGACATGCTCCGGGCCTTAATGATTAAATATTTACTTACTATAGTCTGTAAGGTCATGTTACTCGGCAGTTGTCCGAATGGTAATTTTACTTGTCCAGGGGCTATAGGACTACCCTTAGTGTCCAGCCATGTGCTCAGAAAGTTTTAGTTTGTTGTCAGCAGTAATGCCAAGTACTTTTCACTAGACACTGCTTCCAACACACAAGTATGACCACAGGCAATGAAGAAGGAATTGAAAACATTATTGTTGATTTCTTTTTTACTATCAGTGTAGGAGAACTTTAAATTTGAAGGCTATTGACTGCCTGAGATGCTCCAGCTACAAATTAACACAGTCTTTTCTGAAAAGCCTACACGAAGAGTCAAAATGAATGAGCAAAAAATGGCATCACCATATGATGTGTTTACTATATTACTGTATATTACAATTTAAAAATTGATAGAACATAACAGAATCGTGTACAGTGAAAATATAACTGCATACCTTCTCTGTAACATCTGCTACTGGTTGTGTTTGGGTATGTGTTGTACTGCTATTATGTCTTATGACTGATGTTGTACTTAGTATCTTCCAGTGATGCCTGGTAAGCTTGGTGCATAAACTATATTTGTTATTATTCCCATGTATCAATACATGATGTGTCCTCCATGAATGCTGGTTTCTTAAAATCTGTAAAAAAAAAATAGTCACATTCAGTGCTCCATGTTGTGTTCGGTATGGGCATACAGTGTAGATATAGTCTATAATACGGGTCAAATCGATGTATGTAAATAATGTAATATACATGTTTACACATAATTCTAATGTGAATTGCAAGAAACTAATAGCACACTCATTAGACATCTTGAATCCCACAAGCATGCATGAACTAATAACACTTCCACGTTATAAGTTATCGTCAGTTCCATTTTGGGTAAACAGTTAACTGCTCAGCTGCACTCACTTGCCAAGCATATTACCTATCTACAGGTTGTTCTGGTGTATATTTATGCTATTTCATGCTAATTCAAATGAAAGCCAGTTCTTATGACATTGTTGACACTTTTGTTGAATGAAGGGTTCCCCATTTGATAACTGGTTGTGAATAATAATAATCATAACCATTATTGATATCGTATCCGCTATGGGATTTGGACAAAAATACGATTTCTATATTCTGTATTCACCATTGGCTGCAAATTGTCTTTATTGTTTTTGATTTGTTTTATATTTTTAGAAAAGTTTTTATTTTTTGTTTTCCTTTTTAGATTGTAGTTTTTTAATTTCTTTCTGTAAGACCCTTTTTATCCTTTCCTAAGGATTTTATGCGTCTAATAAAAAAAATAATAAAGACATAAGTACAGTATAAAATACATAAGGAATGAAGACAAAATAAATAGTAATACCGGTAGTGTGATAACTTTAAGACCATGTACAAAATCAAAAGTTTTTGCGAGATAATAATTTGTCTGCATTTTTAAAGTCACTGCTGACACGGACATACTAACGTGATCTTCTCACCACGTGCACTACTGTTCGTCATGATCACACTCTAAGACGAACCTGAAAGTAATCATTTGCTGAATGACAATTTTCGATCGGCTTACAACCTAATCGATTTACAACCTAGTGGACGTTGCATCGCAATCGCAGTACGACTAATTATGACGATTTCTGCTGCTAAAATTATCATTTCATAGGTTATGTACTCACTATTTTTGCTTGAGCCCGTTTCACCAAGCACCGTGAAAAACAAGTTGGCCCACGCCAGGTTATGAGGGCAGCCATTTTTATCCTCAGACGAAAATGAATCACTAGTGTTACGTTAGTAAATGGTGTATTCAAATTAATTGCAGATGCTATTCTCAGGATAAGGACACAGTTAAAATGCTAATAGTACGATAATTAAAAATGAATTATATGATTCTTGTATAGCAACTGTCGTTCATCGAGTTGAATACATTAAAAAATATAAAAGTATTATAATCAAATGAGACGAAAGTCGCTCTACAAATTGTTGGAGCGCCCTCACACTAAAATAACAAGTTCGATTTGATGCGCTGACGGCTGAAGATGGCAGCTGTTATCCGAGTTCGTCGCAAACGAACGGCGGATCCCGCCGACAATTTAGTTTTTTCGTGCAAGAAACCTAAACATGGAAAATGCGAGAGTGAAACAGCGGGAACAGATCCACTGGAAGTCGAGAATGTATTTAGATTCGCTGGAACATCGGAAGAAAAGGTAGAGTTTTTAAACTTACGAGGATGACAATTGAATTCGTAATTTCGCAAGAGAAAAAAAATGTAATTTGTAAATACTACACCATATATTATATCGGCAACATTTGGACATGCTGAATGTCATTTAAAACTGTACAACATTTCTCGTATTATTTTTATAATCATCTTATACAACATAATTGATCCGGAAATAGCTATTTTTTAATTAATTGTGTTTTTTTTTTATTTCAAAGGATCACCGAGTGGAGCACATACAGCACGTCATAAAAAGTATGAAAGACAGACTGAAGAGAAGTGGACTGAACACAGGGCACGAGAAGTTGAATGCCAAAACCAGAGAACTTAGAAAAATTGCTTCAGAATCAAATAGATTCAAAGTTATTTCCAATCTGAGGAACATCAAGCTTGATGTGCAAGAAAAGACAATCATAAAAACAGGTTCTGAAGAGACTACCCCCTGTACTGGGGCTGGTGATGGCAAGCCCAATAATGTGTCTGTGTGTGACGGTGCTGAGGCTGCTGCTGTTGAAGCCAGTTTAGAAGAAAGTACAACGCAAACTGAGGCTAATAAATTATTTTGTTTGTATGATGTGTTGCAAGAGGTGCAGGAAGGAAGTAAGAAGGTATATTTTATTACGTCATGGGTTTTATTTATAGTATGCTCCGTGTAGAGATAAAATATATTGCGAAGAAACTTTTTTTTATGAGTAACCCGGTGGTACATGTAACTTGCATAACATATTTTTGTTACTATTGTTACAAACATACGATATAAATATGGCTGAAAGTATATTATGAGAATATTACAAAACTAATGCAAAATGCAGTATGACGATCGTATAAACTGATGCGTAGTGGTGGTCAAAGCAATCCTGTACTGCCCAAGTGCATATTTTGCAGTATTCTCGTGATAAGCTTATTGTTATACATCTGTTTCCTGCTTGTGATTATAATTTAGCGAGAAATAAATGTTCTGCATATTGAAGAAAAGCAATTATTGGAGTTGTGCCTAAGCAACCATTACAAGTATACTACTCACATGACACACTATGATTTTGTCGCATACATGTAAAATAGGAAAATGTCTGGATATGATGTAAATAATCAGAAACACATTTAATGTTTGCGATGAAGTTTACTGAAAATAAGGGATTGAATGCGAGAACAAGTGCTAATACATTTTTGGGTGAATTGAAATGCAGAACGCTAAATTCTATTGGTTTGGTTTGGTTGTAGATGTATAATAAAGATATATACATTATTAGGACTTGTATTTATGCATTGACTTGAACATTGTCTTCCCATTAGTTAGTTGCATATTATCATGAGTTATCATCAATGTGCAATAACTGCAATGCAGTTGCTGGACTGTAATTCATGTAATTTCTAGGTTCTCTAAAATATTATGGCATGGATTATTGGTTTGTCTAATGTCATGTAAATGTCCCCAATCTGAATAAAAATATTCATAGACCACTGAAATTCAGCATTATGCAGAGAATTGCCATTTACCAGTGTCATGCAATTCCCAGGTGACTGATTTGTTTACGATGACATAACTTTAAAACAACAAATCAAATGTATGCATCATATAGCTGTCTGTGATTGTATGTGGCGTCGATGCTGCATGCATGTGTTTATTGTGGTTGTCATGGGAACCTTGAAAAGCATTTACATGCCTGAAATCTTTCCATGAAAGTTTTTAAAATTTTGCTGAGGATGTATTTTCAGAATTTTTAAATGGAAACATTTCTAATGATTTCTACACAGGAGAAGTCACCAAAGTCAAGGAAAGAAACACCACAGAACCAAGATGAATTGATGTGCAATAACGTTAGAATGATACGTGAGAAACTTACCATTGAAGATGAAACAAAACCCAAACACAGAGAACCTGAGTACGTATATGACTTCTATTATGCTGATCCGACGTCCCTGGATTGGTCGGCCCTAGATAACGTTGTGTCGGTCACGGGATATAACGATATGGAACTAGTTTATGGTGAGGCAGAAATGGACGATGAATATTGTGATGATGACGACGACGACAGCAATGATGAGAGCAATTGGAGAAATGAATATCCTGATGAAGGTAAGAAAAAACAGGCTATTCACAGGAATGATGTGTTTCAGATGTTTAATATCTAATTTTTGCCTTTTTTGAAAATGGCCAGAAATTAAAAAAAACGGCTCCTTAAAAGCACTGGATGAGTTATGGGAGTGATTTAAATGTGTTGAGATATAAAAAGCATGTGTTTAATATTCCATAATTATGATTTGAATAGAATCTCTAAGCCCTTTACTTAAATTTTGAATAGGCTGCCTATATGGTATTAATCAAAATTTGAATAGAATCCCTATGCTTGTGATTATAATTGAATAGACTCTCTATGCTCATAAATGTAATTTGAATTGAATTCCTATGCCCATCATTATAATTTGAATAGAATCTCTATTCCCAATGATTTTAATTTTGAATAGGCTGCCTATGTGCTCATAATAATCAAAATTTGTATATAATCCTGATTATAATTTAAATAGACCTCCTATGTTCGTAATTTAAAATCTGATTAGGCTCCCCACATAATTTAAACACAACCTCTACATTAACGTAACATCATGTTTCTCAATGCAGAAGAACATGAGCGTGACAGTCTTTCAAGCGATGATGATGATGATGAAGACAATTACTATCATCAAAATGATCCATATCGAAGGAGAGATATTGACTATGAATATGAAGTACAAGACTACAACGCTAGTGATGATGACGATGAAGATGGGCTTACTCATGATCATTTCATTGTTTGAACATACTGGAAGAGTCTTTAGAAATATAACACAAATGTTATCATGTCGCAAGTGGATCCAAGAACCTGCCATACAATATTTACTGGGAACTTTGTTATTGTGTGAAATCTTGCCAGACTTGTGTCATTTTTGTAGATTTTCATATTTCATGCAAGTCATGAATATTAAAACGAAGCTTATGAATATTTATATTTATATACCCTGAATAGTATTGAAGCTTGTATTTTTTATTTTATTATATAAATTATTGACAGCAAAAAATGACTAATAAAACTAATACACAAGGCTAATACACAAGTTATTTGGTTGTTGTAAACACACTCTTTTGGTCAAACATTTGGTTTGGAATTGGAGAAGATTGATATTTCTTCCTCAACTATTAGAAAAGATTGCCAAGGGTAGTATTTGCTACATACAGCTGTGAAATGTTGTGATCTTTCAATTGTTTTTTTCTCTCTGTTGCAAATTTGGTAAACAAGTTAGTAATGGGCCTAATAAAATGATGGCTACAATTATTTTACAAAATCCAGTCAGGGAATGAAATCTTTTGCAATTTCTTTATTCTCATTGTCAGAAATTATCAGTCATTTTGTGCCATATTGTTTCCTGCCAAAATGTTGTTCTATCAATTTTTATATATTTTTCAATTTTTTTTTTTTATTTTTTGACCAAATTAACATAATATTCTATTTCCTACATGTGTGGATAAAAAAAAATTAAGCATTTTTGATTTGTAAAAGATGATAAAGTTTACTTGGCAGTCGTACGTGTGACATCTACATGTCTGTAATAAGAGTGTGTGTTTGCAACAACTGATCATTTGAATAGACTCCCTATGCTGATGATTATAATTTGAATAAACTCCATATGCTCGTGCTTAATATTTTTGTATGTACTCAGCTTATGCATTTTAACTTCTGTTAATTTTAAAAAGAAAAGTCAATAAATTGAATATTCTGTTTCTAACACATCATTTATTGAAAACAAACTCTTAGGAATGTCAGGAACAAAATTATGTATTTGTGCTGTTGGTAGCCATGGCAATGCACAGGTTGATTTTAATCAAAATTGGTAAGAATATCACAAGGGTTTGATTGCTGTGGAACAATAATTTTTATGATTTTACTATGCATCATGGGAATGGAGAGTGATCTGTTACAACTGTATATGCAATACAGTGAGATAAGTAATTATAATCTGTTTCTGCTCCAAGACAGTACACATTAGATTTTGGCTATGGGAGTGGGGTGAAGTGTGTTCTGTTACCTCAATCATAGATATCTATACTGATACCAGTGTTTATAAGCGTATCCAAACATAGACATTATTGGAGAAAGTGTCATCAGCACTACTCTGATATCAGTGTTAATGTACGCCACTGCTTAGACATTATTGTAAAGAATGTTGAAGAGCGCCACCACATGGACATCGTTGGAAAGAGTGGCATCAAGACTAAAAATGTGATGTCAATGTTGAAGAGCGCCACCACAGAGACATGTAAAGAGAAACTATATTCTCATTCCATACATTCAATACTAATGGATGAGTCAGATGTTTCAGCTTTAGTATCGAGTGTCACGGTAAATAGTAAGTTACATTGCAAGCTATATCAGTGTAGTCAAAACTGAAGTGTTATCCCACACATAACCACACATACTCACAATGACTATTGCGCGAGTCAAATTTCTGACGTCAAAAACAACACGCAGAATATAAATGTGCACACAAAATAAGCCTAGTAAATTCACGGTCAGAACGACATACTCAGTTACAATTGACATCGGGAACTATTCCACTGTCTTACCGGCAGTCACACCTGAGTAGAAAAAAATCAAAATTACAGACACATGTACGAACATATAAACATGAAACAGGTTCAAAATCGCACCTCAGTAAATAAGCCTCGCCACTGTAAGCAGATATTACCTCAAACTAAAACGTTGTTTCCTTTATAGTATTTCAGACTAGAATGAAAAGATTTCTAGATC